GCGATAGTCTGACGACGGTTTGGCGACCTCCTTTACACTCTTAAAGTGTAGATCTATACTTCTAAAGTGTAAATTTGAATTCTTTATGGTAGGAATATGAGTTTTGTGATATTTCCTTCGATTCCTATATAGATTTCCGATGCAGCGGTGGTAGTGGTGGAGTTTGAGCAACGGTGACGAAAGACGACATCCTCAGTGACGGCTGTGATAGTGGTTTTATGCTTGAGATAGACCTTCCATCCTTAGATTGGATCCCAGACGACATTTGCGAATAGATCTGTGGTATTCCCAAACTGTAATTATTTTTTTGGACTTTTTGTAGTTTGTATTAGTTTTTTTTTTTTTTTTTTTTTTTCTTTGTTTTTTCTTTTAATATATTTTTTGTTTTTCTGATTAAAAAAAAAGAAAACCTTATTCCATGTTTGCCCTCCACCACAATAAGCCAAGGTGTGCACAGTTAGTCTTGGGCCTTAGCCTCACCGTTTACGATGAAAACCCCAAGGAAAATCACTCGTTAAGCATGAGAAATAACACGTGTTACCCATAAAATTATTAGATGCCTTAGGGGCACCACGTGTCTGTATTGTGAAGTAATCGCCAATTGCCAAACCATCTTTACCAATTACAATATTTTTGTAACACCCACCTGACTATGCCTCAGGGCCACAAAATATTTTCTCCATGTCACCAAGGTGCACATGTTATCACCGAATATATTTGAATCCCACCTTTATTGCTAATATATATATATATATATATTTATATATATATATTTAATTGTTCAAATATCAATTATTGAACCAAGTTTTTTCTTAATAATTGATATTCGAATATTTGATTTTTATTAAATAGTTAGATAATAAACAAAAAAGTTGATAAGCAACATAATAAAATTACGTTGCGCCATAAAAAACCTCTCTCTAAAAAACCTCCATCTCGGCCTCACCGTTGGCCAGCCGGCCGCCTCCTTCGGCCATGGCGGTTGGCTGGCCTAGCTTTCTCTCTTTGTGTTGTTGGTTGTTCTCCTTAATAATCTTGAGCCCCTTTTGTTTTCCAGTTTTCTTCCATTTCAGATCTAACCTCTAGATTTGCTTGGGGTGCTGGTTTTATCCGTTCGTTTTTTGTTTAGCTTTGTGTGTTCTCAAGTTTTCTTTGGGGTTGTTAGCTGCTTATCTCTTGGGGGTTTAGATCTATCTTCACTTTGTGGGTTTATGGTGTTTTGGAAGCTTTGTAGGGTGGTTTTGGTGAATTCTTTTCTCGGTTGAAGTGGTTCGGTGACAGTGGTGCTTGGTGTTCAGATTCGGCCTTGGTGTTCTGCTTCGGCCTTGGGTTTCGGTTTTGGGTGGTTTGCGCTGACCAAGGGTGGGTTGGTTCAGGAAGTCATTCGGGCACTCCGCTGCGAGAGGGAGTTTGAGGGGTGGAGGATCCAGAGGTGTTTAGGATCTTCATTCGAGCGCTCCGTGCGAGTGGGAGTTTGAGGGATGTTTTCCGTTTCAATCCTTTGGTGGCCGGTGTTTGTGTTCGGTTAAGCTTGAAGAGGAGAGTGTAGCAAGAATAAGCTAGGCGTCTGCAATGGAGGGTGATATTTGGGTCACGGTGAAGAGGAGAAGGAAGCAAGAAGAGGTGAGTGATTGGTGCAAGCAGAGGCTGTCGATGTTCAGAGGTGAAGCAAAGGAGGCTCGGCCATGGGTGGTCCTCGACGGCAATGGAGGAGTCTGTGTGTCCGGCTAGTATGGAGGTTGAGTGTTTCAAGTGTGTAGCAGTGCATCAAGTGTGTATCAGGCGTGGGGCTCAAGAGTGAATCAAGAGTTTGAGTCAGGCGTGGGGTGTTCCAAGAGGGAGTAGCTGTGGTTTAGGTGGGGTGTTTCTGTGTGTAGCTGTGGTTTAGGTGGGGCTCAAGTGTATGGTATATTTTATTTTTTAGTTGTATTTTAAAATTTAAAATCGTGAGGTTAGGGGTTGGTTGTTAGAACGCGAGTAGCAGTAGTAGGAGAGTGAGTGTTTACTCTTTGAATCTCTCTCAATGCGTTTTATTTCCTTCTACTTGTAAATTTCATGTTTTTAATGAAATTTTTCTTTGCCGATCAAAAAAAAGAAATAAACAAAAAAGTTGTTTGAATGGAAAATGTCTGGGATGTACAAATAGAAGCTTGCTTATAGACTGACATGTGATCTGCACGCGATTGTCACTTGGCATAATCTCATTAGATTGACTCGCTGAGATTTTCATTTTTTTTTTGTTTATCACACATTGTAATTTGTACTTGAAGGACCTCATCCCTGTGTGCCATCCACTACAATATGCGAGGGTGCGTACAGTTATGCTTGGGCCTTAACCTCACTTTTTGAAATGAAAACTTTAACGCTGTGTTTGGTTGGGAGATTTGAGAAAAATTTAGAAAGAAAAAGGGAAAATGTGTGTGAAACTAGGTAAAATATAGGTATGTTTTATTCATATTTCACTTATCTTTTTCATTTTCCTTTTCAAATTTCTTCTCAAATTTTCCAACCAAACACATCATAAAAAAACCCATTTGCAATCGAGAAATAAGATGCATCACTTAAAAAAATATGTCCAAAGGACATTATGGCCTTGTTTGGTTTGTTTCTTAGAAAAATTTTTGAGAAAAATTATCTACAAACAAATTCTCAAGAGTAATCAAACCAAACAAATTTTCGTACATTTTATCTCTAAAACAACTCTTCAAACACAAACCAAATACACCCTATGTGTCTTTGTTCCCAACCATCTCTAAATATAAAATTGTGAGTTTCACTATCTTCATCAATTATTACATTCTTGGAACACCACCTAACTATGCTTTAGAACAACTAAATATTTTTTCGATGTCATCTAGGTCCGCAAGTTAACACTGAATGCACTGGTATATTTTAATCCCACCCTTTTTCCTAATATATATGTATAATTGTTCAAATATCAATTATTGAAGTGTTTTTTTGTTCAGTAATTAATATTCGAATATTAATTTTTATTAAATAGTTAGATAATAAACAAAAAAAAATTGTCTTAATTAAAATTTCTTGTTACGTACAAATAAAAATTCAGCTTATGGACTCACACCGGATCTGCACCTAATTGCCACTAGGCATAATCTCATTGGATTGACTAGCCGAGATTCCTCATTTCTTTTTCGCAAAAATTGCACATGAAGGACCTAATCTCCTTGCGCCGTCCACTAAAATACGCCACAGTGCGCATAGCTATCATTGGGCCTTAACTTCGCGTTCACCACCCTGTAGGAAACCCGTTTGTGGTCGAGAAATAACACGTTTCACCTGAAAAATTATTAGAAGCCTCAGGGCATCACGTATATGTGTTCTTAACCAATCACCGATTGTCAAAACAAACTTATTTTTTATGTCCTAATACAGAATAAGCCTCACATTTCTTCTAACCACAACACTCTTGAGATACCACCACCTATCTATGCCTTAAGATCAGCCAAACAGTTTTTCGGTGTCAGCCAGATGCATAGGTTAAACACAGAATGCACTGGGTGTATTTTAATTACGCCCCCTTCAGTATAGAAGGTAGATTCCCTCAATGCTTAGACTACGAACCCATCCCAACTTTCGTTTTAATAATTCGAATTATTTATTTTATTTATTATTTATATATATATATATATATATATTATTTAAAAAAATTGTATCAATTCGATAATTGTGATCTATTTTATTTATTACATTTGTCACAAAAAAAAAAATGAATGATCTATTTTTAAAACTATTGTCTATTTTTTTTTCCAATAATAAACGCGATAAATTAAATAGATTACGATTATAAAATCAATTTAATTTTTTGTAAGATAATATGCATGAAATGACTGATAAAATGAACAATTCAAATCATTAAAACAAGAGTCGTAATGAATCTTACTAACCCGAACAACTATGAAATATGGATACTTCTAGAAGAACAATCTATCCATATTGTATCATATCAGATACCGATATTTCTAAGATGCTTGCAGATACATTTTGGATACTTACAAAAAGTATTGATTATATACTTTTTAATTAATTTTTCATTAATTTTAAAGTACCAGATACTTAATTTTAAAATATCGGATTGCATATTACCTTTATGAAATTACAACTGTAACATTTCTTACATAGCATTATAATATAATATAATATAATTGCGACAATAAATATAATTTTTTTTTTTCAATACTTCACTTATTTTTTTAATGAAAAAAACATGGTGAATTAAAATAATATAATTTGTCAAATTGATTTATTCTTATAACTACATAGCAAGTAAATACAAAGTAAAATTAAATTAAATATTATTGTCCTATTATTGTAATATAAAAATATTAGACTTAATATTAAAATGAAATATTTATAAAACTTATTAAAAATTAAAAGAAATAAATTAGCTACCAAATCAAATTAATATTTAATTCTTAAAAATTAATATTTTGTAGTATAGATTTTTGAACATTTTTGAGCTCATGTAAATGACTAATAATTTTTTCAAAAATATTTTTTTTACAAAGGTATCTTAATTATATCAGTATTTTATTTATTTTTATTAAATTTTCTTGTATCGTAATCATATCTCGCATTTTTTTTAGATTTTCTTATATTGTGACTCATATTTATATCTATGCTTTCTAACCGAACAGTACCCTCCAATTCAGATGCTGGACCGGAGGGAATCCACCAACTTAATAAATATGTATGTATGTATATATTTACTCGAACTGGGTCGTAGCATATAGTTCATGGTGGTGAGACGACAGATCATCACTGTCTGTCATCATCCATAAACCTCCATTGTCCAAATCCAATGAAACCGACGTGGGTTCTCTCCGAATAGTCCAACCCATCTCCGAATCTCACCTTAAAACCCGCTTTCTCTCTCTGGATTGATGTATATAGAGAGAAAAACAAAGATTTATTTATAGAGAGAGAGAGAGAGAAAGGGGTAAGGGGATTAGAGGTTCTTTTTCTTTATCTTTTTTGGTTCTGTGGTATCTGGGTTGATGGTTTTCTTAGTCTTTTTTCTTGCTTTCTCGTGAAGAATCACGCAAAATCTCATGAATTTTCTTGGCTACTGTAATTAGGTCTATATATAGAATGCAATCTAGTGTGCGTACGTATATAAGAAGCTGTCACTGTCGTCAGATTATTCGTGTGTGAGTGAGAAGAATTTTTTTAACAAAATTGAGGCGGCGGAGTGGTGTTGATGATGACGAGTAGCAGTCAGGCTGTCGCAGTTCGCAGCAAAGGCATCGCAACATGCATGACATGTCCCATCTGCAATAAGCTATTCAAAAATGCTACCACCATCACTGAATGTCTTCACACATGTGAGTCCTCTCTATCCCTCTTTTTCTCTCAATCTCCTTTTGTGTATCTTGTTTCTCTTACTTGTTCTGATTTTCGCATCGATTCTGTTAATGTAAAATGTAAATTATAAATAGTAAACCACCCACTCCACCTAACACCTCCACTACCACCCACTCCACCTACCACCTCCACTACCACCTTCACCTACTCCCAAATCCTCTCCTATATAAATCCTTGTAATATACACAATATACACATCAATCAATACAACAATCAATCATAATACATACAATTTATTTTCTCTCTTTCTCTATACATTGAATTTAACAGATTCGATTCTCACTTTCGCATTTTCTGATCTGATTTATCTCAGTTCAAGTCATCATCTCCGATATAGGTATCGCTTAATTTCTCCTTTAGTGATCTGGTTCTTGTTGGCTGCGCATCTTTTCGATCTGGGTCGGCTTCATTTTGCGTTATTTTTTACTTTCTGGTTCACAGTTAGCTTGATACAAGAAAACTTAATTTTTCCTTTTATGATTTTTTTTTTTTTGGATTTGGGTAGACTTATTTTGCGTTTTTTTTGACTTATGGTTCTTAGCTAGCTAGATATATACAATAATGCTCAATTTTTCGTTTTGTGATCTGGTTCTTCTTGTCTACTTTGCAGTTTTTTGAATAGAATAAATTAATGCTAGATTACTGTTTTCTCTTGTTATTTGGGTTGTAAGCAACGCTAGAGTTGAACTTATCTGATAGTGACTGTACGGGGAGGAAATAATTCTCCTCGTATAATTTGTTATTTGGGTTGTAAGCAACGCTAGAGTTGAACTTATCTGATAGTAACTATACGTACTACGTTAATCAAGAGAGAATTCTGATAATTTTGATGGGTTGTTGTGTCAAATCAATATGGGTTAGAGCATAACGGTAATAGGCATTTTACTTATCTAAATATTATTATAAAGTATATATTTTATTTTGCCTATCAACTATTTTATGTTTTTACTCCAATCATACTCTTTATTTTAACTATTCATCTAAATATTATAAATTTTATAAAATGACACATCAGCAACAAAGATGGAGGGAAATGATGCTAATGATTAAATACATTTTGCCTAACCTTGAAAGCTAGCTACATGTAGCTAGTGAATGTAAGTTGAGCTAAAATGCCTAATCATATACATTGAAGTTGAAAAAAATGAGTTATACTAAACATTTTGATTAACAAGCATAATATACCTAGTGGGTTGGAACTGCTCTTACTGGACATGATTGATAATTAGTTGGTTTGCATATCTATGCCATAAGCATGAGTTCCTTTTTGGGTGTTTTATATATCTATCTATATATATATATATATATATATTAAAGTATTGACCTGAATAGTTTTTAAATATTTTTACTACATGAAAGGGCACCAAAATGTTAGAATTCTGTTTGGACGTGGGATGTCTACTCTATGTTGTGGGTTTTGTGACAACTTCATTGTAATCATTTGGGGTTTTCTAGAAGTTGCTGCATAGTTGCGTGGTGAAGAGCTTCTAGGTAGGTCAATTTTCAATTTGCACAAAAGACGTATGACATGCAAATATCTTTTGAGAATGCAAGTTAAAATAACATGTGTAGCTATACTTGAGCATGTGTTTCATAGTCATAAAAGATGTAAATATCTAATATATATTTTTTGTGATTTTGAAATAGTTTGCAGGAAGTGCATTTATGGCAAGATTACAGAAGTGGGGTTGGGAAACTGTCCTGAATGCAAAGTATATCTCGGTTGCGCTCCATTGAAAAAACTCAGGTATGATGGTCTTGTACTCTTGTTACACTCCTATTTAGAACTTGATACATCGATCAGTTGTTTTTGCATGTACTGAACTTTGTGAAGTGTAGATACAGTTTGCTTAAAAATGTACACAGCAAACCCTGAAATATGATGCAGATAATTCATAACTATTATCAAGGAAGTGCCTGTCATGTTCAGATTTAAAAGAACATGGACTTGAGAAGTATGTGGACAGCATGGGTGATGAGTTGTCTAGTAGATTATCCTTATGTGTTGTGTAAAATTAGGTTGTCAATCAACTATGTTGTAAGTGCTGAAAATGATGTCACTATGCAAAGATGCATCTGTTTATTGCACAACTGTATTTCTATTTTCATATATCCAACTCTTTGTTTGACAATGATGTGGTGATTTGGATAAAAATGAATTTTTTTGGATAACCGGGTGTCATGATTTGGATAAACCATATGATAGTTAATACTGTACAGTTCTTGTTTAATGGAGAGATACTGTGGATGGTTTTGCAAAATGTGTTTCTGTTAAAATACAGTGTTTGGATCATTGTAATTTTGCATTTTTCATGATTGACTGTCATACATATCAGCTATTAATGTCCTAAGATCTGACATGATAGGATCAATTCTTCTGAGGTATGGATAGTATTTATAAAGCTTGTGGACAGCAATTTTTTTTTTTTTTCTTTTCTTTTCTTTTTGGGCCCATTGAATTTTTGATTGTATTGTGTTTCAAAATGTTAACATTATATCAGTTATTTGCTTGTATCAGCTACTGTAATTGGGCTGTATGACCTAATGGTGGTCTGCTTACATGAACTTAATGATAATTTTCTTCAACTATATATATGAAGTTTTTCTGTGTTATCTCTGTTTGAGAACCACAATGTATCTTGATTATTTTCAGATTTCTAGTTTTACCAGTAACTAGTATGATAGTTGGATATAATTTTCGCTTAAGCAAAAGACAAGTGTTGAAATCACAGATAGAATAAACAACATGATTGAACTACTCAAGCTATAACTCTCCCTCTCTTGTGTGTGCCTTTGTTTCTATAACTGTTCTGCCATTTGAATTTGTGTTCTACTCCAAATTACCAAATTTAAAGGAAAAACAAGAAATACAAACTAACTTTATGCGTTTGGTTGGAATAGAGGTCCATGTTAATCAAAATTTCCTTTGTTTTCCGTTAACCTGCAGGGCCGACCATAGTGTGCAACATATTAAGGCTGCAATCTTTGATTCCTTAAAAAGAAGAGAGCCTAATCCTTTGCTTACTACAATAGAGTCAATGGAACCTGAAGTTATGCCCACTATTCCATTGCTTTCCAGAAGTAAGGAAAGATATCTCTCTTCCTTGGTTAGCCAACCTAAGGCGTCAAATAGGGCTGCAACGAGTAGAAGAAAGAAATCCTTGCCAAGAAAGTTCGTTGCTTCACGAGGATCCACTTTATCCGTTGAGGAGCCAATGAAGAACAGGGAAGCCATTCCCGAGAACTCAAGCCCTCTTGTGACTCTAACCAAGATTGCAGAAAATAAAAAGCCGGTAACAAGTTTACAGATTGCTCATTTGCACTTGTAAGATTAATTTGTTTCAAAAAGTTAAGGAAAAGCTTTAAATTGAGAATGGTTATGCTTTTACTAGGTTAACAATTTATTCTTATTGTTGTGATGGCTTCAGAATTTCTTTGCTGGCGAGTCATCTAAGCAAAATGTGCCTTGTGAATGTGCAAAGGCCCCTGTTGAGCCATTGGAAGGTACGACTGCTCTGTGGAAACCTTTGAATTGTCTTGTAGAAACTGCAGGTATAACAAAGCCCGACAAGTCTATTTTGCAAGAATCTGTGGCAAATTCAGCACTGCCCGTTGTCCATGAAGATGAGGAAAATGCGAACAAAATTACCAAATTGAAGGAACGAGCTAATAAATCTAAAGTCAACAATGATGAGGGTCGATCAATGCTCGTGCCATCAGGTTCAGAAAAACCTAAAAAGAATCGTAGGGGTCGACCAAAACGAGCTATGGCCACTGAAGGGACAAATATTGCACCACAAGCTGTGGTTAATGCTGCAAGCACTATGTGCTATAGAAAAGTTCATCCAATTTGGTTGTCCTTGATTCCTTCTGATGCTCAGTTAGGTTCTACTAGTTTTTTTGAATTTACAAATTACAAGTATAATTAACGTTAACTATGTCGTATCGTTGATCTTATGTATGTTAATTGTATGTTTCGTGATTAATGATTTTAGGGAAGGAGATGCACCGTTGCCACAGTTACGCTCCTGCTACTTGATGATAAAGTAAGTCCCCTTAGCACCACCACTTTGCTTATATATCTCTATTTATTTATTTTTTAATGAAGAAAATCTCATACTCTTACTATGATTTTTTGCACCATGTTTCTGTTTCTAATCAGAACGTCGTTGCTACAATATTGTACTTGAGATATGCATAGAATTCTTACATGTTTGACTTAATATGCTTCAGTTAGGTCATGATATCTGTGTGTAGAGATACTACATTGCTATTTGGTCCAGTTGAAACTGAGTAAACTCTGCCCTGATCTAGAGAACACCTGTCTGTGTTGTAATCTATTAACTTATTTTTCTTCCTCTGAGCTACAACTGTGAACAACTGTGAACATGTTCACTAAGCATTATTTTCGTCCTCTTGGAGTAATGATGGTGTCTTAATTATTTAACAAAGTACAAATAGCATCCAAAACACATGGAATGTTCACATTAAGTGCAAATAGATCATTCGATTGTATTTGTGTGGCATTTGAAAGAAGTCCCTTTTACAGATAGCATTAAGAAAAACTTATGCATCCCATATTGGGTGCTTTATTCCATGTAAGTTTTCTCTCAGACTTCTTTGATCTAACCTTCCGTCGAACTTTTCCCTATACTTGAAATGAGGTTTTTGTTACAAAACAAATTGTCGAAGAACTAATCCATGACCCTGTCTCGACTTATGTTTACCAGAAGAATTGTTTTAGTTAGCAGCAAGCAAAATTCTTGTTATTATTGACATGTTTTCCTTTTGTTCCCACCATAGGGATGCAAATGTACCAGTTTCATCCATCCAAAAGTTCGTTGTAGATAGGCTGGATCTTAACTGCCATCAAGCTGAGGTACCTTACATAATCTTAATCACGTCCCTATGAAAATAAGTTTGTATATGCTGATGTCTATGCAAGTTTATTTGGGTGAGTATGTCTTTTCCAGTCTATAGTTGATTCATTAGCTTCTTCTATTTTCCATAGTAGAATTTTCATTTTCTACGTTTGACATTGGCTTAGTATCAAAGTACACTATTTAGAGTATTGTGCAAGACTAGTCTCATGTGTTGTCAAACACCAATTAAAGAAATCAATTCATATTGATTAACAACAACAAGAATAGTAGTATAGTTGATAATCGAAGCATTATTGGCAAATTTGCTGATTACTATAGTTTTTTTTTTCCCCCCCAGGTGGAGATCTCATTGAAGGGTCAGCCATTGCACCCCAGCTTGCGACTGCATAACTTAATAGATTTGTGGTTGCAGACAATAGCAAAATCAGAAGAAATAAAGGCAACAGTGGGCAGCTCAGCGAAAGATTGTGTGATGGTTCTCTGTTATGGTTGGAAACCTCAGCCCTGTTAAACATCTTTCTACTTCCTCTGCATCAACTGTGATCTTGAGCCTAGGCCACCTGCTCGAAAAAATCAATTTTCCTAGAGTTCCCAGATCTTGCTTTAGCGGATGTTTCGTGCACTGGTCATACTTTGTCTTTTTACATTCATATGGAAAAGTTTTAAGTTGTACAATCTTTTAGTTGCATCACCATATGCATCCAAATGCTTTGCGTTGCATGTAGTTTTACCTGTACTTTTAATGAGTTAAGGCTTTGTTTTTATTATATACAAACATGCATGCATGTAACAAAATAAAGTAGGGTGGCCAGACATACAGATACTTGTTTTATATATTACATAAATACTTGTTTTATATATTACATAAATTTTGAAACTGTAGAACTCTTTTAGCTATTTTGGTTTGTTTTGTTTTGTTATGTTTTTAAATTTTATTTTGGTCTCGTTTGCGTGATTCTTATATATTGTGTTAGAATCTTGGATTTATGAAGACAAAATGATATGAAAAGAAAATAAAGTAAAATAAGTTTTTTTTTTTTTCTTTATTAGTTGGATTAGGAAGATGCTAAGAAAACAAATAGATGGATTTAATGTTTTGTTTAATTACCCATAAATATTAAATATCTACGAGTAAGTAAATATGAATTAGTGATTTTCATTTGTCTTATATTTTTGTTAAGAAAATCCAAGATCCAAACGTAGCATTAGAAAGAAAAAAAAAAAAAAAAAATTTTGTATAGCATGGTGCTGAGGTAGACAAATTAGATCAAATGTTTAAATAGCCAAAAAATAGATAAAATTCTTCTCGTGATTAGATAATGCCCAAATGTTAGAACAAAGCTAAAAAAGGCCACCACTTGTTTTTGTAGGAAGAGGATCATGATCTCGCACGACTTATTGATGCAGATACATGGCATTGATTTGTGTAATTTTTTTGAAAAATAACTTTTTCCTCCACAATCCCTACAGAGATGACATGGTAAAACATAACACAAGTTCTATACTAATTGAAATGTGAGTCAATTTTAAAAATTTTGCTTGCCACCTCATTTGTAAAGATTGTGAGAGAAGAAATTGTGTAAATGTAGCATTGTTGAATTTTTTTTATGGGACCATGTCTCACAGACAGAAAAATTATCTGAAAAGATGTAATAGTAACATTTTTAAAATTATGAATTATAATGATGAATGTTTAGTTTGAAATGAAAACAGCACAATAGGCTACATCGTTATTATTATTATTATTTGAGGAAAGCATCACATTTTTTATATGTTGACAGTCATGTCAATGTGATAGCGGGGTGGCTGAATTCTGCAGACAAGCCATATAAGAATGTTTATAGCAGTGTTTTTAAAGGCTCCAAGTGCATTAAGGCGTTGAAGGTCTTTTTGGGGCTTAAGTGTAAGGTGAGAAGTGAGCTTTATTGAATCTCTCAGGGCTTAGGCATAAGGCGAGATGTGAGTTTTATTGAAGCAAGGTACACAATCTTAGTAAAAAATAGATAAATTAACATAGACTAATCATTAAAAACAGACCAACAGCACAGCAAAGAAGGAAAAAAAAAAAAATACTAACAAAGACTAATATAAGTCTTATTTGTATTTTTTTTTTCTCCTAATAGAGACTCAACTCAAAGAGAGAGCAAATAAGAAGAAGGAGAGAGAGAGAGAGAGAGAGAGTTGAAGTTGAAGTTGAAGTCGAAGAAAAAAAAAACAGAGCAAGTCAACAGCGAAGAAGAAGAGAGAGAGAGAGAGAGAGAGAGAGAGAGAGTCGAAATTGAAGAAGAAGCAACCAGCAACCAGCAACCAGCAGCCAGCGAAGTAGAAAAAAGGAAAAAGAAAAATAAAAAAAAGCAAAGAGTGAAGAAGAAGAAGAAGCACTGACCTGATGAGTCGAAGTCGAGAGAGGAGCCTAGAGGAAGTGACGACATTTGAGGCTTTTTTTTTGTTTGGTCAATTTGAGAAAAGTTTTAATGCGACTTTTTTGGTTTTGATCTCTAAGAAATGGGGGGGCTTAGGATGTTCGGGGCTTTAGGCCTATTAGCTTGCTGGGAAATGTTTATAAATTGTTGGCTAAAGTTTTAGCAAATAGACTTAGATGAGTTTTGCCAGTTGTGGTGTCTGAGTCTCAAAGCGCGTTTGTAGGGGGTAGGCAGATTTTGGATACAGTATTGGTTGCCAATGAGTGTGTGGATTCCCGGATTCGACAAAAGCTATTGTGGGAGTGGGGTGCAAACCACTCTTGGTGATTCACAATGAGAGGATTAACACTGAACCAAACTGAAATTTAAATTCACTCAAATAATTCTGAAAAAAAATACAGAGCATGAACTACAATTTTCTCTATTTTATTTTCTTTCTTCCACACTCTGAATTCTTAAAACATATAGCTATATATAGATAAAACTAACAATGTGAACGCATTAAATGCAACTACGTCTAGCAATGTGAATGCATTAAATGTAACTGCGGCTAGCAGTGTGAACGCATTGAATGCTAGCAACCAACCATCTTGATTTCATCCATACTCCTGCTCTTAGGCCGGTGGAAATTATTATAGATGAAACAAGATTACTTCACAACATCCCCCCTTAATCTTGATTCTTAATGCGGCTTTATACCGAGCATTATCTTCATTCTGTTGAACATATCATTTTTCAATGGCTTCGTGAAAATATCTGCAAGCTGATCTTGAGATTTGTAAGGAAATAATTCCACCTCTTTATTTTTCACATGCTCTCAGATGAAATGATAGTGGGTGTCAATATGCTTACTTTTTTCATGATAAACTGGGTTATTTGCCAATGCAATTGCTGAGTGATTATCAACATAGATCTCAGTGGGTTTTTCTTGTGGAAATCCCAAATGCTTCAGCATATTCCGTAACCATATTGCATGGCACACAACTGAGTTGGCTGCAACATATTTAGCTTCGCAAGTCGATAATGTCACAATGGCTTGCTTCTTGAACGACCATGTGAAGGCTGTATCTCCCACAAAGAAAGTAAATCCCGTAGTTCTTTTCCGTTCATCCAATTTACATCCCCAGTCGCTATCTGAGTAGCCAACAAGTTTGAAATTATTAGTTGGTTTATAGAATAAACCATCATCGACTGTACGTTTGATGTAGCGAAGAATCCTCTTTGCTGCATAAAGGTGTAACTGATCTGGTGTTTCCATATATCTGTTAATCAGTCCTACTCCATAGAGTATGCCTGGCCTGGTGCAAGTAAGATAGCGAAGACTTCCAACTAGGCTCTTGAAATAAGTTGGATCCACATCAACTGCCTTCGTACATTTTCTGAGCTCCACTCCACTGTCTACAGGAGTGTTCACTGGATTGCAATTTTCTATTCCATATCTCTTGAGAATTTCCTTGGCATAACCACTTTGGGAAATAAAAATTCCATCTTTTCTTTGTGCCACTTCAATGCCGAGAAAATGAGCCATCAATCCAATAGCTGTCATTTCAAATTCTTGGACCATGCTTCTTTTAAAGTCTTTGAACATGGCTGGATTGTTTCCGATGAAAATTAAATCATCAACATAAAGACAAGCAAGCAACATGCTTCCATCAGCTTCTTTCTTCAAATATAGTGCGTGCTCATATGTGCATTTTTCAAAACCATTGTCATGAAAATACTGATCAATTCTAGTATTCCATGCATACAGAGCTTGCTTCATTCCATAAAGTGCTTTTTTCAATTTGTGCACTTTGTTTTCATGCCCATTCTGAACATACCCCGAAGGTTGTTTAATATAGATTTCTTCTTTAAGGAAACCATTAAGATATGCAGATTTCACATCAAGTTGATAGATCTGCCACTTGTGCTAGGCAGCCAAAGAAATCATTAGCCTGATAGTCTCCAACTGGGGAACTAGAGCAGACACCTCTCCATAATCAATTCCACCTCTCTGCTTGTAACCTTTTGCTACTAACCTTGCCTTATAGTGTTGCACTTCACCTTGTGCATTTCTCTTTGTCTTGTATACCCATTTCACTCTAATGGATTTGTGTCCCTCCGGTAGACTGGTAAGCTTCCATGTGTCATTTTTCTCAATGGCATAAATTTCTTCATCCATTGCTTTCTTTAATTTATCTTCTTGGGTGACTTCTAAGAAAGTAAGTGGATCACTATCTGCAAGTGGGCAGAACAAATTCAGATCTGCTTCTTCGGTAGCTTCATATATTGTGACAACCCTCACCTCTGATTAGTGTTAAACTGTGATTGAGCATGATAAGTAATTGATTAGGATGAAATCCTAAATTGTTGTGTGAGTGTGTTGCTTTAATTGCATTTCTATTTGTTTGTCATTTAATGATCTGTTCATGTTTTAATTTTGAATTGCGAATTGAAAGCCTTATCGGCGACCGAATTAGAAATTGATTAGTTTAATATGCAAATTAGGATTTATGTGATTTTATGGTAGGTTTAATTAAAATTTGATTTGGAATGATTAAATTAGAATAAATAATGTTAAATTACATTAGTTTGATTATTTACATGTTTTGCCATTTGAGTGGGCCACTTTCTAAAACATTGTTTGGGGTAATTTATACATTATTTTACATCCATCTTCTTGCCAAAAATCGTGAGAGAGAGAGAGAGAGAGAGAGAGAGAGAGAGATAGGAGAAACTTGATTTCATTTGAGAGTTGCTTGGAGATTTAGGAGGAATTGAAGAAGATTTGCAAGATTGAGCTAGCATACTTGGAATTCAAGACCTAAGGTAGGAAATTCACCCTCTTGAACATGAATTTAAGTTGTTTCTTGCATAGTTCATGGAAATATTGGAGATTAGAGTCAAGTTATAGCCTAAAGAGTTGAATTGAGTAGCAATGTGTGCATGCATGTCCATATCATTGAGTTTTGAAATCATTTACATGAGAATTTCCATATGCATGTCCATATTTTGGTTGTAGTCCATAAATTCACCATGTTTTTGAGTTCAATCTTGCATTTGTCCATGTTTTGGAGCATTGGAATTCTTAAGAACTCATGCATGTTATGTTCTTGCATTGTTCTTCAAGTTTCTTTGAAATTGGTGTTCAATTGGCTTACCTTTGGGCTTGATTTTACAAAAAAGACCTTCAAAACATGTTGTAGTATGAGTTTTCAAGTGTTTTCTAGAAAATTGGCCCAAAAGGTTGAGTTTTGATAAGTTTAATTCTTGGTTTGAGCTTTGGAGGCAAATCTGGAAAATCCAGATTTTGGCTTCCTTACTCGAGTGAAGGATTCCACGCTCGAGCGAGCACCTTCGTTTTCTGAATTCTACTCGAGCGACGGAATACTGGCTCGAGCGTAGATTGCAAGCTCTCAGGTTTTTGTGGACGCAGACGCACGCTCGAGCGACGAGACTTGCGCTCGAGCGAAGAACTATGTCTCACGCTTGAGCGAGCATCGAGCGGAGAATTTCAGCAACTAGTACTTTTTACATTTTTATAGACCGCTCAAGCGAAGGAGTTTACACTCGAGCGACCCCTTTGTTTTGGTAATCTCGCTCGAGTGAACAAAGCCATGCTTGAGCGAGACCCCTGTTTTCAACAAATTTTGAAAAGTGTTTTAAAGTACATCTTTGCATCCTCTTTCCATCCGAGACATTCTAGGCTATGATTAAGGCATCTTAACGAGGATATTGATGTAGAACCACACCAAGTCAAGTTAAGGGGCTAAGTTATTAATCCCAAGTGTGTAACTTAGTGTGCGTTCGTTCTGCAACTGTGTAGAGTTGGCACTCGAGGACGTTGACTAGCCTGTCTATAGCCCAGTACTCTGTGAGTAACGATACTGTAAAGATATGTTCAATTATGATTATGTTCTGAATGATTTACTGTACTGCTTTCTGAAGTAACATAGTTTACTGAACGAATGTTTGTCCTATTTTATGAACTGTACTCGTGGCATCCATAGCAACTTACTGTTACTGTTACTGCTACTGTTACAGAGATCTCTGTCAGTTCCAATGTTTGGGACTACTACTATTTACTGTTCTGATGGCCATCAACTGACTGTTCGGTCTGTTAAGACCTACTGTACTATTTTGCTATTGGATGTATCACATATGACTACTATGGTTTCTAAATAACTGTATGGCATGAAATATGAGCCACTGATTGAATAATTGATCTACAGATGCAATTGACTGTTTTAATTACTGAAAGGACATTCATTTTTAACCCCTTTACGCATTTGTTATTCACTGGGTTTTAGCTCACTGTTTATATTTATATGTAGGTGTTCAGGCATCGGACCGGAGCTAGGAGCGTCGAGTTAAGCTCCTGTTTTGTCAAGCCAACCACTGTGCCTCACTTCGAGGTTCCGAGTTCGTTCAAGCTAAGGCTGTTTTGGGGTGTTGTAGATTTCCCCTTTTGTCTCTGTTTTGTATCGACTGAATAAGTCTTGACTGTACAGTTATGGTGAAGGGATTTAGTTCCTAACCTGGATGTTTGTGTATATGATATATGTATATATGTTTTGGTTATGAATGTGGCTTTATTTATAAAAGTCTTTTTGCATTCAATTTGTCATAGCTCATTGGACATCTTTTATTTACTGTTTGGCTTTCGCCAGCCCCTTAGTCTGTATTACTGTCATTACTGTTAAGCAGGCCTTTGGTAATCACGGATTATTGGCCGGTTGCGATGCTAAACCCATATGGGAGGGCTTGGGTCGTGACATATATCCCCTGTAAATTTCTCATTGGTCTTGGTTGTTTGAAAAAACTATCATCTGATGATACTGCTGATGATGATAATACATCACTTCTGTGAGAAACTAGCGATCTAGGTGCCGGTATTCTATGTAGAGGAGTTTGTGGCTCATCTTGAACTTCTCTTGTAATTTCAACCGGAGCTTTTGATGTTTCATCTTTAAGAATGAGTTTTGTATCTTTAACAACTTCATCTTGATTCCAGTTCCAAGCTTTTTCTTCTTCAAATATCACATCTCTACTCATGATCACCTTTCTGGTAATGGGATTATACAACTTGTATCCCATTGTTCTGTCTCCATATCCGACAAGGACATATTTTTCTCCCTTATCATCGAGCTTGGTTCTTCTTGCTTTTGGAATCTTGGTGTACGCAACACACCCAAATATTCTGAGATGGTTGACACTTGGCTTATGTGAACTCGAAGCTTCTTCTGGAGTCATAGAGTGAAGGCTCCTAGTTGGACATTTGTTCAACAGATACACATCACATGATACGGCTTCAGCCCAAAATTGTTTGGGTAGTCCTTTTCCTTTCAACATGCTCCTTGCCATATCTAAGATTGTGCGATTCTTCCTTTCAGCAATATCATTTAGCTGTGGCGTACATGATAGTGTTGTTTGATGCTTGATTCCATACTCTTTGCAATAATTCTCGAAAGCATTTGATGTATATTCTCTACCTTGATCTAACTGTAATGTCTTGATGTAGTAGTCGCTTTGCTTCTCTACAAAAGCTTTGAATTCTTTGAAGATACTGAATACCTCCGACTTTCTTTTAAGAAAATACACCCATGTCTTCCGGCTATAATCATCAATGAAGGTGAGAAAATATCTATTCTGTTCATTTGATATTGGCTTCAATGGACCACACACATCAGTGTGCACTAGCTCTAGCGGCTTTGTTGCTTTCCACTTCACTTCTTTGGCAAAGCTAGTTCTGTGATGCTTGACAAGAATGTAGCTTTCACTGACCTCATTAGTATGAGCAATATGAGGGAGCCCTTTCACCATATTCTTGCTTGATAACAACTTCAAGCTTCCAAAGTTGAGATGTCCAAACCTCAAATGCCATAGCCAGTTTTTGCCTTTGATGATGGCATTTAAACACTTCGCAGCATCATGTTGGATGTTTAAGGCAAACATCTGATTCTTGGACATTCTCACCCGAGTGATCAAATTACCATGATTGTCTTTGATGATAAGATGACAATCTTTCATGCTGATGTCATATCCTTTCTCTAAGAGTTGTCCCATACTCAAAATTTTGTTCTTCATGGCAAGAACATAATAAACATTGGAGATATAATCATGATCTCTATTCTTGAGCTTGATTAGAATATTGCCTCTTCCTTTCACTGGAGTCTTTGAAGAACCACCAAATGAGACTTGTGCTTGTACAGTCTCGTCAAGCTCAACGAACAACTCTCTTTTACCACACATGTGATTACTGGCTCCCGAATCTAGATACCAAACATTGTTGTAGTTTTTAGTGTCTCCATGGTGGACAAACAGGACTGTAGGTCTAACTTTGTTTGTTTCCTGCTCAGCAAAATTTGCTTGCTCTCCGGCTTCTGTTGTTGCTCTACTTCGACATTTATTGCTGTAATGCTCGAACTTGTGGCACTGAACATTGCTTTTGTCAACTCCTGTTCGGTTGTTGTAACCACCTCCTCTACCTCTTGCTCTTTCTCTTGGAGCAAAGTGTGGTTGACTTCTTTCTCCTCTGGTTGGACCTCTTCTGCCTCTTCCTCGAAAACCAAAACTTCGGTTATTGTAACCACGACCTCTTCCTCGGCTTCTTTGTGATGTTCCCTACTTACTCATTTTTGTCATCTCTGAATGATAGCTTTGATTGAAGAGCTTGCTCTAGGGAACTTGAGAGAGTCTTCTTGTTGATCCTTTGTTCATTAATCTCAAGTGTACCCATCAACTCATCGGTGGTCATGGCACTGAGATCCTTGGACTCTTCTATTGCTAGAACCACGTGCTCGAACTTGGGATTGAGTGATCGGAGCATCTTCTCTATCACTTAAAGAGATTCCATCTTCTCTTCATATCTTCTCATCTGAGTAACAATGGTCAATGTTCTATTGAAGTACTCAGAAATTGACCCATTCTCATTCATGTGCAACATCTCGAATTCGCCACGTAACACCTGGAGTCAAACTCTGATCGTCTTCTCAATTCCACGGTGTGAATTGCGAAGAATACTCCATGCCTCTTTAGAAGTTGCTGCTGCTGAAATCTTCTCAAAACTTGACTCATCAATGCCTTGATAGAGAAGACACAAGGCCTTTTTATCTCTCTTCCTTGAATCTTTTAATGCCGTCTTCTGAGCTTCATTTAAATTTCCTTCATCTTCAAGAGTAGTTGGCTCGTCATATCCTCGATTCACTAACTTCCACAAATCTTGTGAGGCTAGTAGGACTTGCATTTAAATACTCCAATTTTCATAGTTCTCCTTGTTGAGTTTTGGAAACTGGGGCTGAAAGAAGTTGTTTGTGTTGGCCAGTGGTTGTCTTTAAAAAATTGTAAATTTTCAGGATGGAATTTACAAATTCTAACTGTACAGATGTGCTCGGAATATTCCAAATAGTTGGAAAGGATTATTAGATCACCAAAAACGGACTTTAAACAGCTTAGATCAAGCCAAAACAAGTTGAACGGTTCAGATCGATGAAATCTGGTGCGAGTGAGAAGCACCGAATAATTTCTTTGGTACGGCTGGCTTCAGCGACTCAGCGGCTGACGGCACAGCTTGGTCAGCGGCACTGGTCAACACGGCTTAGACAGCGGTGCGGTTCTAGTCAATAGCCTGAGCTCGGCTTGGTTAACGCGACTTGGTCAACGGCTCAGCTGACGTTAGTGGATGACGTTAGGTTGTTTGGTGAGTGCACATGTGGCGCGTGCTTGCGCGTGGGATCATGCGTCTTCTTCCTCTGGTAGTGCGTGCGGTACGTGAGAGCGTGGTCGCTCGTTAGAATGGCGTCAGTGGTGAGTGTGGCGCATGCGGAGTCATCCGAGATCTGTTTTTGATGCAGTTTTTACGGTTGTGCTCGTCTCATCGAGAGCTTCAAGCTGATGTGATCAAAAATGGATTTCGACCACTTTGATTTATGGGCAATTTTTGAAAAACACTCTATTTTTTCGAAAACGCACAAAACCGGCTCTGATACCATTGTTGGTGGGAGTGGGGTGCAAACCACTGTTAATGATTCATAATGAGAGGATTAATATTGAACCAAACTGAAATTTAAATTCATTTAAATAATTCTAAAAAAAAAATACAGAGCATGAACTACAATTTTCTCTCTTTTATTCTCTTTCTCCCACACTCAGAATTCTCAAAACACATTGCTATATATAGATAAAACCAACAATGTGAACGCATTAAATGCAATTGCGGCTAGCAATGTGAATGCATTAAATGCAACTACGGCTAGTAGTGTGAACGCATTGAATGCTAGTAGCCAAACATCTTGATTTCAACCATACTCCTACTCTTAGGCCGGTGGAAATTATTATAGGTGAAGCAAGATTACTTCACAACAAAAGTGCCTAGGTTTGATCTGCAAATTGGATATTGAGAAGGCATATGACAACATTAATTGGGATTTCCTTATGTATGTGTTGGATCTTATGGGATTTGGTAAGACTTGGTGCCAATGGATCAAGTTTTGTGTATTGACTGTGCGGATGTCTGTTCTGATTAATGGGACTCCAGCGGGGTTTTTTCCGACGCAATGTGGCCTTCGGCAAGGGGACCGTTTGTCACCTCTGTTATTTCTTTTAGTGATGGAGGCGTTGTGTAGGTTGTCGGGTAGAGTTGTGCGTGGGGGTCTATTGAAGGGCTTTGTGGTGGAATCGTTGTCTGGGGCTTCTGTTGGTGTATCTCATCTATTATATGCAGATGATGCTTTGATTTTCTATGGGGCTAAAGTGGAGCAGGTAGGACATTTGAGATGTGTTTTGTTATGTTTTGAGGCAGTTTCAGGCCTCCGGGTTAGCTTGAGGAAGTCAGAGCTCATTGCAGTTGGGAAGGTGGACAAGCTACCAGTTTTAGCTGCAATCTTGGGTTGCAGGGTGTCCGTTTTGCCAGTATCTTATTTGGGTTTGTCGTTAGAAGCTTCAGTTAAGGCAAAAGGGGTATGGAATGGAGAGGTGGAATGAGTCCAGCGTCGTCTGGAGGGATAGAAGATGCAATATTTGTCAAAAGGCGGGCTGTTGACACTGATTAAGAGTGTGTTGACAGCATTCCAACCTACTTCATGTCGGTTCATGTTATTCCAGTGTCAGTGGCGCACTGGTTGGAGAAACTTCAAAGGGATTTTCTATGGGGTAGTGGGGGTGATGAATTTAGGTATCATCTGGTTGATTGGAGGTGAATTTGTCAATCTAAGCAAGCAAGGGGTTTAGGGGTGAGGCGGTTAGTGACTTTTAATAGAGCCTTGTTAGGGAAATGGTCATGGCAGTTTGCTTCAGAGGAGGATAGGTTTTAGCGAAGGGTGGTGGCTTCTAAGTATGGGGTGGGAAAGAGGAATTGGAACTTTGGGGCCATGATTACCACACATGGTTGTGGGCTTTGGAAAGGGATTTACAACAAAAGTAACCTATGGTGACGAAAAGTAGTGAAGAAAATAAATTTCATCACTAAATAAGAATAATCCATGACGAATTATAAAATTTTGTCACGTATAATAAAAAAAATAAAAATAATAGGTGACAAAATTTATTTTCGTCAACAAATACTTCTTTTTAGGTGAGGAAAAATTAAGTTTTGCCACCGAAGGTTTTCCTGCTAATTTTTTTTTTTTTTTGGTTGGCACCAAAATTTGAGACTTTTGGTGAGAAAAAAATTTGTCACCAATTATAAAATTATTAGCGAGGAATATATTTTCATCACCAATAATTTTGTATATATATTTTTTGAGAAACTTGATTTTAAATATTTTAAGACCATCTGGTGAGAAATATATTTTTATCACTAATAATTTTTAATATTTTGAGACTTCTTAGTGAGAAAATTATTTTGTCACCAATTTTGGAGGAAAATTTTTGACATATTGGACGGTAATGGAAAAAATAGACTACTAACTTTTTTCACCCTTTTATTTTTGTTTATCAATTTTTCCCTCTCCCCTCTCTCTCTCAAAACAAAACACAAGTTAATTAACTCTCTACACCTATGGTGATGAAAAGTAAGGAAGAAAATATTTCGTCACTAAATAAGAATAATTCGTGATGAATTATAAAATTTTGTCACATATAATAAAAAGTAAAAATAATAAGCAACGGAATTTATTTTCATCAATAAATACTTATTTTTAGACGTGGAAAAATTAAATTTCGTCACCAAAGATTTTTCCTCTACTTTTTTTTAGGTGGTGTCAAAATTTTGAGACTTTTAGTGAGAAAAAAATTTGTCACAGATTAATAAATTATTAGTGGGGAATATATTTTCGTCACCAATAATTTTAAATATTAAAAAAAAATTAATTTTAAATATTTTAAAACTATTTAATGTGAAATATAATTTTATCATCAATAATTTTAATATTTTAAAATTTTTAATGACAAAATTATTTTACCACCAACCAATCTTGAAGGGGGAACTTTGAGATTTGGTAGTAATGAAAAAAATGAACCCTACTAATTCTCCCCCGCGTTTTTTTTTTTTGTGACTTGAAGGGGGAACTTTGAGATTTGGCAGTAATGAAAAAAAGGAACCCTACTAATTCTCCCCCGCGTTTTTTTTTTTGTGATGGTGCTCCAGTTTTCCTCCCATCCCTCTCTGGCAAAACACACAAAGGTATGGCCTCTCTCTCTCTCTCTCTCTCTCTCTTTCTCTCTCTCTCTCTCTTGTAGTTGTTTAATGGTGGGGTAAGGGTTTTCGGTAACGTGGTGGCGCTATGGTGGGGATGGAATGGTGTAACGGAGGTGCGGTGTGAGAAGAAGAGGGCTAGCAGTGCTATAGTAGGGAGGGAAAGGGCAGGCATTTCAGATTTGTGGTGGAGAAACAGAGTAGTTTTGTGATTGTGGATAAGAGGGAAGGAGGCAATTGATCTATGGTAGTAGAGGGTTGGAGGGGCTGTGGCAAGGGGCAGAAGGGAAAGTGTAAACAACCAGGATAGGGGTTCCTAAGGGGAATGAAGAAGTTGGGGAGCCATAAGAGGGTTGGGAGAGGGAGACGGTGTAGAAGCCCTTGTGTTTGATAAAATGCCTGTGTGAAACATTGCCATATTGTGGGTATTTTAGAGTTGAAGGGTCATTTCATTATCTCATGTGGAGAATCCTTAGTTCACCAGGTTTGAGTTGTTATGTTTGAAAAAATTCCCATCACAAATCCAAGACTTTCATTTTAATTCTCCTTCATTACATTGTAAAATTATTTTTTTTTAAATGTATTCTATGGCTTAATATTTATTTCTTCTGTATTGTCACAAATTGCTACTATTTGCAAATTTTGAAAGTAATGAGGTTTGATTGCTGGACAATCTTCATGCTTAGTCTTACTGGTAAATGCCAAGACTGGGTTTTTAGCCACATTTCATAAAGGATTTCCTTCTTGTAATGTTTGATGAGTAATTTTCAGGGCTTGCCTAAATAATATGTTTGTAGTCTGTACTCTGTACTTTGTAACACATAGTAATGTTGCTAGTCTTAAATTTATGAATTTGTTGATATCTTACTGTCACAAGTCAAGATTCTAGGAATTGGGCTTTACCCTATATTGTTTTGCCTGAAACTGCTTTTATGAATTGGTCTGTGTGGGCAAGTGATGTGTACAAAATACCTTCAAGAAAGAAAAGAATTGGTCCAAGCATTGCACAAGGATATAAAACTCTCTGATCTTCCCAAGATAACTTAGGTTTTTGTATCTCTTATTTTGTCTGTCACCATACATATTTAGCTCCTGCTTTGTTTCTTAGTTACTAGTTTGATTGGCTCACTAATGGCGTAATTTTTCCATGATGTAGCCCATGTTAATAATCTGGAGAGATCAAGATTAGATATTTCCACTAGAATTGGCGCACAGATTAAAAAGGTCAATACAAAGAATTTTATAATTTTAGTAACATTTTTTAGACGTACGGTTTTGTATTTTGGCCCTCTCTGGTTTCCAAGAGGTTGGAGGAAAAGAAAATGACAACTTGTAACCTTTTTTATTTGCAAGATTTCTCGAGTTTTAATATTATTTGTCTTCTTGGCAACCAAGTGGGGCATTTGCATGTTCTAATGTTTTGAATTGCTTTAAAGTTTTAGGCTTGATTCATTTTCATTGAATCATGTTTCGTTTATTTTTTCAAGCATCTGGGTGAGAACACACAACTAGTGATCATAAAGAATGCAGGTCATGCAATCAATGTAGAGAAGTCGCAAGAGATGTTCAAACATTTGAAGTCATTCCTTGTCGATCCTCTTCCTCCTAAACTTGAAAGCAAAGGCAACAACGGCAAGACAGACTAAAGGATTCAGGAAAAAAAGGGAATTCGAATAAGGAGCTATTCTGATCATCCTTATGTGGGTTATACAGAGTGTTTCGGACAACACAACTAACTTAGGGGTTTGAAAGTTTTCGTTACAGATTTTTAAAAAGATATGTATTTTATATAGTAAACAGTGCATATAAAATGAGTCCCATTGGACCTGTGCAAGCATGGTAAATTACTGACTTGAATTTAGGTTTGATGACTGTTGCAGAGGCCCTTTAACTATTAGTTGGATAATGAACTATTTGTCTTAATATCATTGCAGAACCCGGCTCCAGCCATTGCAGGCACCAAGAGAATCTAAAACAGTAGAGAGTTCGGGAAATAAGAGGATTGATGACTTTTGATATTTTATTTTTATTTAATGGTATAAATGGCAGCATATTCATTTTTCCCTACTGTATATGCAGCCTAAAGAATGCCTCCACTTTTCCTTCTCAAGGGGATAATATTAGTGGATCATGTAGTTCTAGCAGTTCTAGCAAAAACCGTGTTAAGCAAAAACCGCCATATTGAACAATCAATAGAAAAGAGATGAGTGTTGATGGGCTGCATGAAGATTTAAATTGTGTTAAGCAAAAATCGTATATTGAAACCCATGATTCTAATGGTTGCCCTGATGAGGAAGTTGCGAATGAGTGTTGGACATATCACAAGGCTCAGAATGACTCCATAATTGTGGATGTGCTATTGTGGTAATTTTTAATGATTTGAAATGGACAATCTAATTATCTGAAATGTTATGCTGACTTACATTTGTTAGATTCATGCTAAAATTAGTTGTAACAGCTGTTTATGGAGACAAGACGAGCCTTAAGTTCTAAGTGGGAAGATATAAAATGGCAAAAGACATCTCAACATTGGGCCCATAATTGCTTTCTTTTGGATATGATATTCTCCAATTGTGATCTCTAGGATTGAATGCATCAGTTTGAATATCGCTCAGGTAATCATGCAATGCAATTCTATTAATCCTAATTCATTTAGGATCATTTGTAATATCTGTTACATAGTTCAACATTCACCCTATGTAATTTGAGTAATGAATTGAGTTATTGGTAAAAGAAAAAAATTACCAAGAATGTCGTAGTGAAGCATAACCCAAAACTTTGCCAAACTATTGTAAGCATTGATGATGTGGATTATGTGTGATTTTTATCTTATTAATTGACATCTTTCCTATAAATACAATGGAGAAATAGGTAGATGGTAAAGCAGAGAATTACCAAGAACATCGCAATGAAACTGAACTTTTCATTTTGAATTTTACTGACGATAATTTTGGATCTTGAATGTTACTGGATTTTATTCATTAGTGCCCGTGTTAGGCACAAATGACAACTACACAAAGGGATCCATAGTGCCAGAGTTCAAGACTCATTCTGTATAGCCTCTAGTCTATATCTGCTCTGGTTATGGAAGATAGGAAGAGTAGCATTCCTTTGTTCCAGATGGTAGTAATTTCATTAGTTCTACTAGAAAACATGAATTCAGAGTGTTTTATTAAGCAATGAATCACCTTGGTTAAAATTTATGTTGGTGTACCTAAAAACTAATTGTTGGAATCTATTTAGACTGCCTTATTGTCTTTTTTGGAGTCGCTTGAGGAGCATTTGGAGATGACATCAAGCATCATGGAGTTTCTTAAGAAGCAAGGTTTCAAAGGACAATTTAGAGGAG